GCGGGAATAGCCTGTTAGTATTTGCGAGGTAACATCTTTAGTAACTAAATATGTGAGGGCATTAGGCCGAAATTACCTACATAGGTCGTTTCTTTGTGGTGAGCTATTTTGGAGTCCGGAACACATTTTTAGTATTTAGTATAATCAAATCATAGATTGTCAAACAGAGATATCCTAGTGGACGTCGTCCACGGGGAACTGTTCTCTAAACCTTTTCCCAATTTACAGGAACCACTTTCTGAATGCTCGATTATTTGAGTGATAATTGACAGCTTCACGAATGGGTGGAATTCTGTGGAATATGAAGAGCATAGATAGACTCAGCAAAAGCTGCAGAGCTCTTTCAAATGCTCTCAGTAAAATAGCACACATACCATGCATATCTCAAAAGCGATAAAGCAGTCTCTTCTATATTCACATCATGTTCTCAACCTCTCAAGTTCTCTCGTCATCGAAATAATACTATTTTATATAAAACATCGAGCTCATGGTCAATACGAAACCAGGTATTGTCCTATTCGGCACAGAACTGTCGTCGTGGCGGAAGCGTTAAATCAAAAACAACAAGTATACTAAATGAGATTAAATACTAACGCAGAAACAATTCCAACATGCTTTAGTAGACACTGCGTTTTAAAAATATACCAAAGTATCCTATGCCAACCTAGACTTCTCACCAAGTTTTGTTTCTTCTTTGATTTCCTCTCTGGGTATGCTGCATAGCTGCCCAGCATCCAACATCCGATACGAAGATGATTACGACATTTGGCGTTAGAAATATACGCTACAGATAGAAGTCGACTTTGTTATACAAACATGTATAAAGCATAGTAGATTTATGCTCTCGACGTTGATGAATCCTTGAGCGATGTGCGATGCATTCAACTTCATTAAGCATCGTTAGAGGTGGTTTAGTGCAAATCTGGCCTGTAGAATGACTTCCGGCGGCCTATCGGTCTATGAATTCTGTGCTGAAATCCTCCCAGACCAGTCTGGTGTGAATTTTCTGAACCCGTAGCGATGGAACGCTTGGTGAACTCGATGCTCGAGATCAAAGCAGCTATCAATTCAGCGTAGATTACAGGACGTCTCTAAACACAGCGCTACACGTTCACTTAGACAAATATCGGCAACATTGTTTAATTTGATAAATCTGCTATCTGTCCTTTCGGTTGAAAATAAGAACCCAATAAAATCCCTATTTCTATTTTGTCGTTTTCTTGGCAACGCTTGTAGCGCAGTAGTTAGAGCTGCCTTGGAATACTATGTGTTCGCAACCTTTTATTTACTGCCTTTTTCTTTTTTAATGGCAGGGTATGTTGTGAAATATAACTCGTGTATAATGCTGAGATATTTGCAAAACTCCGGACCACAGGTGTATGTCGTGGGAAACGAACCAGCGCTGTTGTCCTTACCGGGGAGCAGCGCACTTCACCGCTATACCATCCGGGTCCCTTGCCTTCCATGTCTCTCAGCTACTATGTGTTCGGTCCGAGCTCACCAAACTTTCCATTCCTCAGAGATCGGCAAATTAGTACCAAACCTGTCTAGAATGATAGCAGCACTGAATCAATACATCGGTAGGCCTTGCGAATCATTGTGACGGCTAGATATGCGTTCAGTCACCTTTAACGATGCTTAATAAAGTCGAATGCATGGCGCATGTCTCAGAGATGCGATGATCAAAGCCGACAGCTTAGTTCTTTCCATCTCTTCCGTTTAGTACAAGGTAACACCTATAGTCCCATTGCTGGTTCCGAAATCTTTATCCGGGTCCGAAAGCATATCACTGATCTGAGCTTTTACAACTGTATCCATCCATTTCAATACTTCTCGCTTTTTCCGCTTCCCACTTCACCTTGATATTGAACCTTTTGGACTTTTATCACACTGTAGGCTTTCTGTGTTTCGCTTTTGTTCCTCAAATTTTACTTCGACTAATGTTTAAACTCTGAAATCTGACTTGGTGCCGCATGTATAGCTTTCTCGTCGTTCATTAGATTTCAAAAGGCACTCCGTGAGTGGAGTGCGAAGTCGTCTTCGACATGACTGGTAGCGTCCTAGGAGGGCGATATCAGCTTTCGTCAGTTGGTTCATCATTTCTTGTGAGGGCATCTAAAACCTACGCTTGTTCCTGTTTCCTTTTTGTTAGAATCATTGTTTATTGTAGAAGTAATAGAAATAAACTCGTTCTCCTTCGATTCGTTTTTCTTTGTTCCAGGTGTGTTTTTTTTTCATAAACGGAGTCTCCCAACACAAGAGAACATAGAGAAATTGATTGACAAAATTTCTCATTTGTGGAAGTTGATGAAGATATGTTTGGTCACACAACCTGTTTACTAGAAATTTCGACCTCCTTAGAACATCGCTTGTTGGACTATAAAGCACTAGAATAGCTCATGAATTCACTCCAACATCTTTCTTCAACTGTTAGATGTTACCCTACCTTGAGTTACCTCTTCCTGCAAATTCACTCCTACCTTGAGTTGCTTCTCCTTATAAATTTTGTTGAACTCATAGGGCTTTGTTTATACCTACTACGATCCACAAGGAAAAAAACGAGACTCTGCCTCGTTCCCATTTCTCTGGTCTAGCGCTGGTACATATCACAGTTTTGTTTTCACAGATAAATCACGTTGTATGCGAATACTGAAACTATACCTAAAGGTCGCTTCGATGTCCTTATAAAAAGGCTTGTTAAATGTTCCAAATAAGCAGAGAAGAATCTCTATGACCATTTGCATCCTCATTGTTAAATCGAATGGCATCGTGTAGTCCAAGCCATGTTTGGTATGTTAAGCACGTTTCATTATTCTCTTTATTATGGAACGATTACCGAAATACCAAAAAAAACTCTGATTACATCTGGTGTCCTGCTCTCGACGTAGCAGATTCGGCTTTATCGACTTTTTCCAATTTAAATATACGAAAAATTCATGTTAGGAGGGGTGGAAGGCTTGGTGGGCGATGCGGGCGGAGATCGATTCCACGTGTGCGTTGCAAGGTGCCTTGGACCAATACGCCACACGCGCCTTTTTTCTTTCTTTTTATTTCTTTATATCCGAAAAAATTTCAACCCCAACCGTCATAAATTTGTACTTGTGGAAGTACCAATGAACAGTCTTCACTGTTCTCTTATAGAGCCTAAAATAATAGTGAGGACGGAAAATTATGCCTTTGGTTTATCCAAGCCCAGTTTTATGCACTTAGCATTTGCTGAACTTTACATTGATCGGGTATGAAGCTGATAAATACGTGCTCCGAGCTCAGAAGCTTTGTATTTCCTCTAAAAGCTCCGGTACAAAGAGAAAACGTGCTATTAAGAAAAGGCTCATTTTTATGCTGCCGGTTTAACATTTGCATAGTTGTTCAACGACTATCAAACAATTGTGTTTTTTCTTGCTGTTGAACATTTGAGTTTGTTCGGTAGAGATGGTTTGCGTCGTGAGGTTACGTGGCGCATCTCCAGAACGCGCATAGGAGCTAAACACGAACCAAAAGTGACCTTGCGCGTCTCTGAAAATTAGGTGAATCAGTGGATCGATGCCCTACTTCTGTTGTGCCGATGTTACACACTTTCTGGGTATCATAGACATGGTAATGCTTGCGTGCGTGCATGCCTTCTGTTTTATGCAGTTTGTATTGTACGAGTCAGTTTAGGCTAAATGTCTGCATTCATGTCACTCGAAAGTAGGTGGAAGGTAGTTGAGAGTCACCTCCAACAATTACCTCCACATATACTCTGAAAGTGGCTGGCAAGGTATTGATGGGTATAGCTAGCCTTTATGTTGAGAGATCGGCAAACTACGCTTAGGTTTCAAATAAACAGTAAAATGAACGTGCCTCATCCTGATCACGAAAGAGTCTCCAATATGGCAGCGTTCGTTAGGACGAGCACGGATACGCTGCTCAAATCTAACGTCATTTTAAGTCTTCTAGGTTTGTGGAGACCAAGGTCTATGATCTCAGCATCTGTAATGTTACATCTGAGTTCTCTAATTCTCCATAGAAGGTCTGATATTCATAGACTAAGAGTATGAGGTGCTTCGTTTTCGGAATGGTTGAAAAAACGAGGAGAGGCTTTTATTGGTGCTGTCAAAATTGAGTAATTAAAGCTTTATCTTGTCGACATAACACTAGTACCACAACAAGATGAAGAAACGAAGGTTTACACATGGGAATAGTGCCATCATTGATTAAAATCGTGTGTGCTTAGCGTCTATCTTTTAATTTCATACGACCCGTCTTTCACATCTACTTTGCAGACTCCATCACTTCTTGCATTCGATTCGTTTCCTCGCATCATCCACCAATGTCTTCCAACCTTGCGTGTAGATTCGGCTACTGCTGAAGGACTATTATCCAGCTGGACTAGAGTGTTCCCAATTGAACTGGGAAGGGTAAACTTATCCAAGACAAATTTGGCACCAATTTCACAGCCCCGGAGAGAAGAGAGGATTGGTGGGCCTGGGAAGGGTCGAGCTAGCACTGTTTTCGTGATGATCAGCTAGATTACCATTTCTCCACCGACATATATGACTGTGGTTAGTACTGGTTTTGCAAACGAAGCTGTCATTAATTGGACTCTACATTATGAACTAAAAAAGAAGAATGAAGTGAAGACTGTAAAAATGTCTCTGTGAGTGAAAGAAGGCTGCTGCTCCTACTTCTTTTTTAAAGTAGGCGGAGTTAGTGCTTACAAAGCCTCGAGTTTCTCGGTTAGTGCAGTATGACAAAGTTGACTCGGTGTGCTTAAATTTATCAACAAAGACGGAGTATGTATTACGACAAACGTTCTTTTCGACTTCTGTGTTTTATTGTTCTTTCAATGTTTAGATCGTGACATAAGCATTTCTGATTCGTTAGAAAACCGATTTTCAAGCATTTTTCAGTGCCGTTCTGCTGTTGTGGTCTTCTTCAAAAACTATTTTTTATTTATAGATATCAACAACATATATTAATATATTAAGAACAATAATATTAAGAAAAATCACTTTTAGCGATGACGGGAGCGAATATTTTGCCAGAAGAGCGCCTCCGTCGCAGGATCCACATTCATGACCCTACGATGCGTAACGCTTTATCTGAGCTATTTGGCACCGCCTTACTAGTGGTATGTTTTCTTGTAGTATTTATAAAAATCATTAGTTAGGTGCTTTCTTAACTTTGAGGTACTTAAAAGTACCTTAGTAAAAGTATTTCTACATAATAGTTTTTGAACAATGAATATACACTAGTTCCAATGTTGCTACATTGTTGATCTCAAATCAAGGCAAGAAAATGCTCTGATTTTGCTTCATGGAATTCAAACTTAGACTTACCAAGACCAAAAAACTTGAAATTTCCAAATATGGTTGTATCGTGCCGTTCCCGTGCTCACATTGAACAGATGGCTCGATAGGTTCGCTTGCCTCTATCAGCAGCTGTTGGCGAGTAATAGTCGAAAGTGACTTTCTGGAAAGTGTTGCTCACCGTCAGCATTTTTCCTACTCATGAACATACACGATGTTATTAAGAAAACCTCTTTATTGAACCCAAAGTTTCTGGGCCACAGCCTTCTTAAGAGCGCCAATGGTTCGACTGAAGTGCACACATCAGTCGTTGTTTTGTATGTTATACGAGATAAGTGGGGAAGATGAAAAAAACGATAAAACGACGAAAGTGATGAGAATGAAGAACAAAGATGTTGCTGTTAAATCTGCCTTTGCTGTATGCAACAAAAGCAGCTCATATCGGCACCATATTGTACAACGCGACTGCATTTGGATTCTATTAGTCAAATAGCGCACTCCTTGGAGTGAGAAGAAGCTCCTAAATACTTCTCGACTCCAAGTTTCCATGAAAACATGGCCACGGTGATCCTTTAGTATTTTTTCAAAAATTTTGGCCAGATAAACAGAGTAGAAAACCATGATCATAAAATCGATGGAATGTTCTAAAAACCTCAGCTTACATAGTCTAAGGCCCCATTTGAAGAAAGCCTTTGAATTTAAAGAAGGCCTTTGACTCAATTGAGACAGAAGCAGTCATGAAAGCTCTTGATAGTCAAGGAGTCCCTACTCAGCACATAAAGATTCTTCGTGAGCTGTACAAAAATTTCACAGCGAAGATATCACCATTCTACAACGATATTAACATTGACGTCAAAAGAGGAGTTAGGCAAGGCGATACCACCTCGCCAAAATTATTTGGCTCCACTCTCTAGAACGTAATGCGAACATTGGAATGGGATAGTATAGTAGTGAAAGTCGATGGTCGGTATTTACACCATCTTCGTTTTGCTGATGAGATCGTCCTTATAAGCCCATACATTAGCCAAGCGGAACGTATGCTTGACGACTTTGATAAGGCCTATGGAAAGATTTGCCTTCGACTAAATCTCACTAAAACGATGTTCATGAAGAACGGATTGGTTTCGTATGCCCCATTCGCTCTCAACGGAACGAATATCTCTGAGTGCTCCAGTTATATCTAGCTAGGTCGTGAAATTAATATGATGAACGACTTAACTCCAGAGCTGAGTAGAAGGGAACGAGCGGCCTGGGGAGCCTTTAAGAGCATTGAGGATGTAGTGAAGAGAACAAAGAACACTCGACTCCGTGCCCACCCTTTCGATTCAACGGTACTTCCTGCCCTAACGTATGCGTCAAAAACTTGGCCGCTGCGTAAGCAGGATGAAAGATCACTCAGCGTTATTGAACGCGCAGTCGAAAGTACGATGCTAGGAGTATCCCGCTCCACACAAGTAAGGGATAGGATCCGAAGCTCCGATCGGCGTCAGCGATAAAAAATCAAAGATGCTGTTCCGTACGCCAAACATTCGAAGATAAGGTGGGCCGCACACGTAATGCGCATGAATGAAAACCGATGGAGAAGAGCCGTTAGTGACTGAATTCCTCGGGATGTGAAACGTACTGCGGGAAAACCACCGACCCGACGGCCAGATTTCTTCACGGAGGAGATCGCTCTTTTGAGGAAGACCCGTGGATAGCCTAAGTAGTCAATATTAGTGTCCAACGTTCTTGCATGTAGCCTACGTTTCACAACTAGCACAGTAGATGATAGAGTAATGCGCATGCGGATCTCTTCCCTATCCATGCCCATGGGAAAACGTTTAGCAATCAAGTCGCTACTGAAAACACCTTCCAATAATTCGTTGCCTTTACTACACCTATTATTTGTTGCCGGAAAAAGTATACTTTACCTCGTTTGCGAACATGTTCAATCTTTAATAGTTAATAATGCTATTTTAGTGCAGAAATAAGAGCGATTTGGATCGGCAATTTTGGAATCTTACAAAATAGCTTGTTGGGGTGTGAGGTGCAGTGGTCGGAGGCGCCCTGCAAAGCACACGTGGAATCGATCCCCACGCCCTTGACCCACTAAGCCTTCTTTCGGCAAATTGGTACCAGACTGGCCTGGGAGGATAACAGCACTGGCTCGATACATTGGTAGGCCACCGTGAGTTATTGTAAAGGCCAGATATGCATTCGCTCACCTCCAAACGATGCTTAGTGAAGATAATCTTCTTTGTGCTTAATGTTTTTCGGACCATCTGAAGACTGAGCAGTTTGAGCACTTTTTTAAGAACACAGTGTTTCACTGAATCTAGAATCCATAAATGTTGATTGCTCCTTTGTGCTGGATGAGGACTTCGAGGTTGAGTTCCATAGCGGAGTCATTCGAGACGCGGCGGTAACGTCGAAGGACTCGATCACTTACGCGCTGTTAAGACGGTCGTTACGTAGAACCGTCCGTGTTATTCCATCTGTAGGTCTGTCTACTCAGCTAATTATAGGTCTAATCCTTAATAGTGATGGATTTTTGATTAGTATCTATAAGACAGGACATGTTGGTAATTCAACTTTAGGTTGAGAGATAACCAATATTTTTGAAATATCCGCTTTTACCACCCCAACCTACTCGTTGTTAAATTTTCGGTGTTGACTTTTGAACTCCCCTTAAGATGATAGACGATAAAGGAAGGCACGTTTAAGTTGTTTTTCGTTATCTCAACATCGAGCTGGCGAGGAATTACTACGAATTCTCCCCCCTTACCCTAAATGGATATAATGGATAGTCTACTGTTTTCTAACCTCATCAGCCTTCCTACCTCCTGCAAACCACATTTTTACAGTTACTTTAGTTTGAATCGAAACCTGTTCGCCAATTACTTATTAAGGACTTTGAAAGTTTCTTCGCAAAAATCAGGAAATTGATATCAACTTTATTGTTGGGATCTCGCAGTTCAAAGAAGGGTTAAGGAAACGGCGATAGTGGCAATGCCCAATTTCTTGTTGTTCACCCCTATTTAGTGCTTCAACTCCAGCATCGTTGTAGAGTCTATCTTGAAGTTTATGCGAACTACATGCTATCCCACGCAAAGGTAGCTTAGAAATGGGTTAAAATGGTGAGAAATTTGAGCCTAATTCTAACATCGAGCGGGTCCCGTCAAAGACAACCATTCCTCCGACATGGTAAGCTTCGGCTTTCCTAACATATTATTAACACTACCGTGACTAGTTTGATCTTCGTTAGCGGTGTTTGTATACCTTCTTAAAGTCCGTTATACAATTGACTCAAAACGTTTTTTATTTTTCTCTATAAAGTTACTTCAATTTCAATTCTAACAGAGTTGCAAATCAACACTGACTGTCCTTCTTCAAAGGCGGTCGTCTAACAAACGAGAGCAGTGATATTCCTTCGCCCTGCACTTCTTCAACTGACCGAACATCTTTTTCTGTTTACTTCGATAGCATTTCGATGTCGAGTGTTCGGTGGCCTCTCTCTGGTAGTCCGCTTCTATCGTGCAGTCGACTTCGATTGATGAAGCTGGGAACGAACCAGTGTTTTAGGCAACGGCGTGGAATAAGTGTATTGCATGTTGAGCTAAGGCAATCTTTTGTCTTAGTGAAAGGGCTTCTCTTACGCAACATAATGAAGCAATAAACATGTATGGCTTCTCAATTCAGCAGTCTATGACCGTCACAAAGGTGTTCTCGAACTGCTCAAATGGTCTGGGAAGTAAATGGTGCAACTGAAAGGGTTGGCAATGGGGCAAAGACAACACCAAGTCTTGTCATTGCCTTTACAGATAATTGCTTTGTCATCTGCTCCACAAAACAGAAAATGGGAAAATATTTTCAGTTATTGAATAAAGAGCCAGACTACATTACGTTTACCCAAGAAAAACCGAAAAAAAACTAGTTTCCATTTCCGGACGTTCAAATCAACCTATCCGAAGACGGCTACATTACGAAGTGGTACCGAATGTCAAGTGGTAAGAATATAGTAGGTCATTAGTTCTTTTTTTACCCTTCACACACAAAAAGGGCTCTTGTAAAAGAATCACGTTTCGAACAGAAACCAGTGTGTGCACGGGAAGAGAGCGGAAGGACGAACGAAAGTGACTTGGAAAATAGCCACTTCAAATGGGCACGAAACTGTACCTCTTGGGACTGGTGTGGAGGAAAAAGCACTCCTCCAAGCGGTAATTCGGGAGAGAATAAGATCCCATTTGTACTGCCCTTTATTTCCATCGAAATAAGTGCAGCTATTAAATCTTGTCAAAAACGGCGGGTCTGGAGGATTCGGTAGAATGACTGAAATACTACCGAGCACTCTATGGATGTCGGTTAGTTTGCAGTTGCCTGTGTCATTGTAAAAAGAAATTGCATAAAATGCCCAAACCATGAGTGCGGGCGTGGTGTACCTAATATCTTGTAAAGTGAGCGGAGACGAGGACATCGACGAAACGGTGAGACCACTCTTTGTCCGTATAAAAGAATAGCTAGTTGCTAAACTTAAACCAAAGTCGAATGTTCCAATAGGCACACACAACACAAAGAGACGTAACGGTGAGTTGTTAATGGTTCAATCTGAACCCACGGAAATGCCGAGCTGGCTCGATCCTGATCTTCCATTATTCCATGACCATAAAATTGATAGCGAACTTGCATAGGGGGATAAAAACACCCTGATATACTGTTTCGCCACCACTCGTTGTGCAGGCCAAAAACACCTTCAACCATCTCTACGATGCTACGAATGGGTTCGAGTGCTTGAGATCCTTGAGAGATTACCCAAAGCTGAACATTCCATCCTTTGATCTTTGAAGAAATTTTCCTACAAAAAAGTATCACGCGACTGGAGTCTGCTACGGCTTGTTTGATTGCTGCAAGCATTCATAACGGGAAAAAAACGATCATTAAACAACCACAATGGTGCAGAGATATTTGCAAAACGTGGACGCCAGTCCACGTACAAAATCGCCATTACCATTCTCGAGGGCTCATCTGATGCCCACTGCACCATCCATGCCCTTGCTTTGCCTTTTCCCAGCCGGTTTTTTCCCTAACGGTTCTATTACCGTTTACCCGTCAAAGGAATTGATCTGGGAAGCATTGATTCCGGCTAAGCTGGGGCTACAAAAACAGCCGCCGCAGACAAAGGCAAGATGAGGACCTCAGTGGTTCAGTGTGTAACATGTGAGCCTCCAGGAAAAAGCTGTCACGGGTTCGAATTTGGCCTGTGTTCTGAGTTTTGCAAATGTATCATCACCATTGTGGCTGTATTCCACAAGATATCTAGCCATAAAAAATAAAAAATAGGCACTAATTAAAAAATTAAGCACGGCGATCTCGTCTGCAACCTCAGCTTAGCCGGGTTCAGTGCTGTTTTGTGCTCCCCAAACCATTTCTGTTGATGGTTGATTACTGGTGGAGCCGCTAGAGTATAAAAATTAACTGGGAGAAAGGAAAATCAAAAGCCTCAATGACGCAGTAGGTAACACGTGAGACTCCGGAAAAGGTAATCGCGTGTTCGAAGCTTGTCTGAGATCCGAGTTTTGCAAACATCTCAGTATAATTGTGACTGCATTTTACATAATACTCTGCTATGAAAAAAACAATGAGCGGGAACTAGAAACTTAAACATTTTCATGCCTACATTTTCTCTTATAGTTCATTGGCCTTGCCATCAATCTGCAATTCATTCTTTCTGGAGAGAAGCTCAATACATGGATACAAATCAACCTCGGATGGGGTTTGGCAATCGCATTTTGTGTTTATTCTTGCAGCAAGACATCAGGTATTTCATCGGTACTCCTTATTGTACATTTTTTCACGTGTGAAAACAAACTCACTGAACGGAGAATCGCTTTTCAGGAGGTCATTTCAATCCTGCAGTCTCACTGGCCATGCTCACACTTGGAAAACTTTCCACCAAAGATTGCGCCATTTATTGTGTGGTTCAAACAGTTGGTGCTTTCATAGGAGCCATGGGGTCATTCGGAATATATTATGGTAAGTAACAAAGGTCTAGCGTCGTTCAGGATACCAACCTGAAACAAATTCACGAAAAAGCGCTAGAATTTCTCTAGTGTGAATGAAAATTAGCCACACTTATTAGAGGTTTTGTAACGAAAAGCGTTCGCAAAAACATAAAGAATTCCGAGAACTAAGTTTCTACTAACCTTGGAGCTTCACCATTACTTCGATATGGGCTAAAGTTTAGGCGGTTTCACTTTCTTCAGAGTCTAGAAGGGTCAAATTGATAAACATTCCACTCAGCCAAACACTTCCACAGCTTCAGCAGGAAAAATACTGGAAAGTTACAAAAGCATTAGCCATTGTTGAATAAAGGGCCTATCTTTTTAGAAGAAAAAATTGGCATGAAGTTGCACTTTTCTTTTGGTAAAATTTGAGGTTTCAGATCAATTGGTGAACTTTGCTGGCAACGATCGCACGATCGAAGGGCCGCATGCAACAGCGGGTAGCTTTTGCTCGTTCCCGGCCCCTCATCTCAGTAATCTTACCTGCTTCTTTGATCAGGTCGACTTAAGCACATTTTATGAACACTGATTTTATTTGGCCAGAATTTAGCACTCGGTTTTAATCTTCAAATTCAAATATGTAAATCCCAGCTACAGCATACTTTATTGATTGAGGTGAAAATCATTTGAGTCCACCTACTATTTCTTATCAGATACAAATTTGAAAATGTTGCATTGTTATGAGGCTAGTGAATGTATTGAGGCAGAGCTATATTGCGAAATGTAACTCGTATATAATGCTGAAATGTTTGCAAAACTCCGGACCGCAGGTGTCTATGGTGGGGAACGAACGCGCTATTGTCCTTTCCGGGGAGTAAATGCGGGTCCTTCTATTTGCCTGTCTCTCAGCTAGTTCTATCGATCTTTTGCCATCAGCAATCACCCGTCAGCGGAATTGATCTGGGGAGCCCAAATCGGCATTAAACGCAGTTAAGCTGAGGCTTAGTTGTAATCACAATCTTAACCCGTTTATTTAAGGACCTCCCTGGTAAGAACAATAGCGCGTTCGTTCCCTACCGCGTACACCTGCGGTCCGGAGTTTTGCAAATATCTCAGCATTATATACGAGTTATATTTCGCAACATACTCTGCCATTAAAAGGAAAAAGGCAGTAAATAAAAGGGTTAACATTGTGATTATAGCAGAGCTATGTATTCCAATTATTTCGACTTTTGTCCACTTCTGATTGGTTTACCAATGTTGCATACTCATCATTTGTTGATGCAATCTATAGTTTTGCCAGAAATTTAAGAAGCTCAGATGAGAATATGTAGATATAGAAAAGGAGCTTTCCCTTCCAAATAAATTCGTCATGATTTGATTTGCACGAACTTGACTTTGGAAGAAGATATTTCGGTGATTCATCCTTGTTCATGTTCAATGACCATCCTACACCTAACCTCAGAGAAAAGTGTCGTTTCCAGAGTCCAGTTTTCGTCTTACGTCACACTGTGATCGACACAAGGATCTTTTTAGATGTTGGAGGAAACGTGGAACTGATGTGTTGTTTTTCACTTTCAAAATCTGTTCAAGTGCCACTAGTCTCCTTCGTCCATCGCCATCTTCGAGGATATCATCCGCACGCGGAAACTTAAGAAGTTAACGTTTCGCCGTACTTTCGTTAAAAGCTAATCTACCAAGTGGAATATTGATATCGCAAATAGTTCCCATGGCTTTACGTCCATAGTCTAATTCTTGCAAGGAATTACCCCAATTCGATATTTCCTGTTCGTATTTCAACCTTCTAAACTGCAAAAAAATTGGATTAGAGCGGAAGCGTTTTTAAAGAGGACTAGGTGCTATGTGTGTAATATGCAAGAGAGAGAGAGGGGGGAAAGGTGAAGGTGGAAACCTTTGTCTAAAAAAAGGGTCAAATTCGAAAAGAAAGGTGAAGAAACATTGTTTTTAAAACAATCAGATGGTATAGTGCTGTCGTTAATGGTAAACATTTTCTTCCTCATTAGGTATGAGGAAAAGTGCAGTTCGATGGTCGATCTCATCTCGGATGTTTTTCCGTCAGCGAGTCCATTTACAGTTCTCGTACTATCGCGCTACAATGCACTTTAAGCATATGTCCTTCATTTTTATTCTTATTAGTTTGCATAACTCGTCTGCGAAAATCAGAACACTTCTCTGAATCGGTTCGCTCTCTCGCATCCGTTATCCATGATGGTTATTGGATTTGTCCGCGTTATGGCTTCCACTTCAATGGATTCTACGGTTTATATTTGAAGATTCTATCTTTTTCATGAATATGGAACGCCGGTCGAACAAAGTCTGCTTGGAATTCTGAGATAACCTTGTCAAGGTGTTTCTGTAGATCACCAACCATGTCCATATTATGCTCATTGGTAAACCGAACACAGACGTACATCGGAAAGCACGCATTTTAGTAAAGTCAGATTTGACCAATTTCACCACGAATCTGTTATCATGCTAGCTATAGATCGCTGGAACCGGGCTTTTGGTTTTCTTTGTATGTGTGGTTATCGACAAGAGAAATGGCATTCCTAATGCAGCTCATCCACTCCTCTTCGGTCTTGTGGTTATGATGATCGGTGAGTTCTCAAATAATGAATAATCTTTATTACTATGATATATTCATCCTTAAAAGTAAAAAAATTTTTTTGTCTATTAGCGTTTTTTTTCGTAGAAGGACTGGTACGCTTATTGCAAAGCGCCACAAAAGTACTAGTACGTGATTATATTACTACTCGACGTATAACTGCTTAAAAATAATAGTCAACAGATATAAATCTTTCGTATTAGAGTATGAAATTAAGGCACTTGTATGGGCATGAACCTTGGATATCCTATCAATCCCGCTCGAGACCTAGGACCAAGAATTTTCACTCTTTTCATCTACGGCTCCGAAGTGTTCACGTAAGTCCACCGTGTTCTTCATTTGACAGGAATCACTAAGTTGTTTTCAGTAAAGCGTAAAATTTAGGTACCATAATTGCTACTTCTGGATTCCAATTTTTGCACCAGTCGTGGGTGCAGTGTTAGCAGCTTGGACTTATCATCTCTTCATTGGCGCTCATATTCCTGATGACAATAAAGTCCATATACTTGACGATCCCAAGGTTCCACTTAATAAAATCTAAAAGATCATCATTATAACTACATAAATAAGTTTTTTTCAGAGTTAGATACCGGTATTTCATTAGGTGACCTACCTTAATTTTATAAACGATCTATGCTACATCAACTAACATACTTTAACGTTAAACGCGACTAATGCTAACACCGTACCATTTAAATGCAGACGAAAATAGAAGATGATGAAGAGTCTCGAGATGAAATATGAGATTCCTCCTTATTTCATTTTATTGTTTTTTTTTGAGTTACTAACCACTGCTAATTACTTACTGCTTAGTAACTACTAATGAGGGAACAGTGGAGATCGTGAATGCCTTTGTTCCCGAAATGTTTATTCCGATAAAACATAGCCTTCGTGTTTTTCGCTATCACTGCTTGTTTTTATGAGTGTTCGAATAAAGCTAAAAAGATGTGCGCATGAACTTTTTGACACAAAACAGAAAGACGGTCTTATGCTGAGGGAAGAATTAGGCTGTGTTGAACTGAGGAATATACATATTTGGGCTTTTGGACGGTCCGTCTTCACGAGTTGTGTGGACCTCAGCACTTCTTTCACTAGTTTCTTTGCCATGCAATCGTCGTTTACGGTGGTGATTTGATTCGAGCATGGCGCCGATTACGAGCAACATATCGTGATCTGCAAAACAACTGCAGCTGCTAGTACACCTGTTTGACTTTAGTTACGAACACGTCCGCCCAACTTGTAGTGGTTGTCGTCCTAGGTAACGCATGCATCCTCGCGGAGTCCGCTCTGCACTTCGTTTAGCCCATCCGTCGTCTGTTCTACGCATTATTTGGTGGAAGGTTCATCTATAGTACGTCATCGATGTGAGTTCTCTTGGGTCTCGAAGATGAAATAGGTTTAGAGGATTAGATCTTTCCATTTCAGCTACATGCTGTGTGTACTGGTCAAATTCCAGAACAGATAATTTGAAAGCGTTATGGTAAAGATAGTTTAGATAGATGATCGGGCACGACGTCCTCCACTGCACTGGGATTTTTCCCCTTTGAAGATAGGATTTCATGCGGCTTGCGAGAAATGCATGTTAATTGTAGCTTTCAGCTCTAACCAAATCGGCGTAGATATTGTCGGATCCAGAAGGTGTGTCTTTTTTCATGCTTTTTATCACAACTAGAACCTTAGAGGAAAGAATTTTAGGTGGTTTTTTTCCAACTGGGATTTTAGAACACGGGAGAAAGATTGTGCAAAGAAAAGGATCGGTGTAGCACTTTTTTTGTTAAGAGTTCCACAAAATGGCAGGAAATTTTGGTGACCTCATTTTGGTTGATCGTGGCTAACAGCAGATCACTTTGATCGCGCAAATCCCCACGAGGTTTTTTCACACTGGTTTTTTGTACTTCTAGCGTTTTCTTCTACCTGCGCTGATGTAGATGTTCCTGCAAAGCTTCTCTGCAGTTGGTATTTAGTACTAACCGTGCCAAGGTTGTTGCGATAGAATTAAGCCTCTTTTTCTTTTTCTTCTCGAGATACCTCTTAGTGGAAATGGAGATGAGATCTGGTCTTCTTGCTTAAGGAGCTGAGACGAACTCGGTACGAATTCTAAGCCCTTCGACAAGTAGCTCGTAGTCTTCGGTCGGTCTTCTTTAATCTGTGGGTATCAAAAAGCTAAACACGGTACGATAAAGCGGTCTCATTCACTGATTCTTAGTTAATCTCCTATTCGGCAGCATTGTGTAGGGCGAGTACGGAGAGGCTGCTAAAATCTCAGGGCCAATGGAAGCTGCCTGGATTACAAAGAACTATGGTGACGATCTGTGCCTACAATGCACGCGCAGTTGTACCTAAAACCTTCTTAGCATACGTCATCATACAAGCAAGAAAGATAAGGTACGACGTCATCGGAACGGCCGAGAAGGTGCCGCCCACTCAACGCGGTCTATAACACCGGAGAAGAACTGGTCCTCGAAATATGCGACTGTAGAGGAGTCGGCGGAGTCGGTGTTCTCGTCAACACGAGTTTGTCCATGAACGTGGTTTCATTCGAACAAATAAGAGCCCGAAACGGACGTTTTCGATTGAAGAGATCTGAATCAATGCCGGATTTGGTAATCTTCCTCGCCTATTTATTGACGACAAGCGATGCGTTCTATATGGACTTGGAGAAGTTCTGCGAAGAGCATACCTTCTCCAAGGTCATCACTGGAATTTTTAGCCCCAGAGATGGACCCAAAAGAACGTCTGAAGAGCGTCACATTGGGGTATGCGGATTAGACTATTCACAGAAACTCGCAATTCCAGAACAATCACACTTAACACTGAACATGGAAGTCTCCCAGTGAATAGTGCCATAGCGAAATAGACCACATTATAGTAAATCGAAGGTTATGTATAACCGATATCGCTACTGTCCCAAAATTCACCTAGAATCAGACTACCGCCTCCTTCGTGCAAGATTCCATTTTTCTCGGAAAGAAGAAATAGCCGTCAAATTCAAAAAACGAAGCCCCAAAACTACAAAACACTGAGATTTATTCGGTCCATTAGTCGGCTATTGGGAAGATGCCGTTTATCATATCACCGACGAGGAATACGATTGGTCCATTCAACTTCTTCACGTTAGCGCTATGAAAGCTGAGAGCTCGAAAGTCACCAAGAGACGTCTGTCTCCAGAAACACTTGAGCTGATACGGCAGCGTGGAATCGGACGAGCTGCAGGCAACCACGCACTAACGTACGAACTTGCAAAACGGTGCGGACAAACGCTAAACTATCTTAAAGAGAGAAGATCAGCAGTAATGGTCGAAGCTGCAGAGGCAGAGAAATGCATTCACAAAGTCCATTTAACTTTCGCCAATTGTAAGACCAAGATGATTGCACTCTGACGCCCACACGGAACAGTTACAGCGTCCAGAAACGCAGTGGAGAAAACCTTTCACGAATACTGTTCAGATATCTTCGATAGCCACATTCACCTTCCGTCATATGAAATAAAGGAAGAAGGATATGTTGTACTACTGGTTCTCCCTTCCTAAATCGACATGCCATTTCTTCAGTGAAAAATGGAACAGCACCAGGTCCAGATAGGATAAGACCAAAACACCTGATGAACCTTCCGTCAGTCCTCGTAAACACACTGGCTCGGCTATTCACACGTTACCTGTCTGAATGCAAGGTCGCTACTCAGTGGAAGACCAGCAAGACAGTGCTAATGTTCAAAAAAGGTGACCTACACGATGTCGGCAACTGTCGCCCAATCTGCTTGCTGTCTGTCTTCTACAAACTTTTCACTCGAGTCATCCTAAACAGGGCTGACAGAACACTAGGCGAAGGAAAGCGATGTGAGCAAGCAGGGTTTCAAAAAGGATTTAGTACGATGGACCACACTGACTCGATAGCAGGGCTCACTGAATTATCGCGAGAGTACAAAAGACTGCTCTGTCCCACTTTCATCGATTTAAGGAAGGCCTTCGACTCAAATGGAACGGAAGCGGTCATGGAAGCCCTTGAGAGTCAGGAAATTCCTACTCAGAATACAAACATTCTTCATGAATTGCATAACCACTCATAATCAAGATGTTACTCTTCTACAATGATATTAACATCGACATCAGAAGGAGGCTTAGGCAAGGCGATAATATCCCGTCAAAATTGTTTACCGCCACCCTTGATGGAAACATTGGAATGGGATAATATGGGAATGAAAATCGATCGTCGAAAATTTCACCATCTTCACTTTGCTGATGAGATCGTCCTTATAACACCAAGCATTAGCCAAAGGGAACGTGTGCTTGCCGACTTTGATAAACCCTGTGGAAAGATTGGTCTTCGACTATATCTCACAAAAACGATGTTAATGAAGAACGGATTGGTTTCGCATGCCCCATTCACTCTCTACGGAACGAATATCTCCGAATGCTCCAGTTATGTCTATCTTAGTTGGGAAATCAATAAGATGAACGACCTAGCTCCAGAGCTGAGCAGAAGGAAGCGAGCGGCTTGGAGAGCTTTCAAGAGCATCGACGAAGTAGTGAAGAAAACAAAAACACCCGACTGCGTGCCCGCCTTTTCGACTCAACGGTACTTCCTGCCCTAAATATGTGTCAGAAACCTGGTTGCTGTGTAAACAGGATAAAAAATGACCTAGTCTTATTGAACGCGCAGTCGAAAGGACGACGCTAGGAGTGTCCCGTGTTGCGCGAGTAATGGAAGGGATCCCAAGCTGCCACCTGCGTTAACGGTCAAAAATCAAAGATGCCGTTCTGTACACCAAACAGTCGGAGATAAGGTGGGCCGGACGCGTAATGCGTATGAATGACAACCGATGGACAAGAGCCGTTAGCGACTGGATTCTTCGGGATGTCAAATGCGCTGCAACAAGACCACTAAACCGATGGTTAGAGTTGTTCATGAAAAGCCTAGAAGAAAGATATGATGCCCAACGAGTGCCTAGAGTAGAGCGAGCAGAACCCATTGGGCTACTCTTGCACGCGACAGGGAAAAATGGAAGATTTACTGGCGTCCGCTCGAGTCACTCGACGATCAACAGGACTACAGCTGACACAGGTGATTGGGCTTGTTCACTGCTAGATTATTTGCAAGGCGATGTTGCCGAAAATAGAAGAATACGTATGGTTGACCTAACGCGTATAAGATTTCGGAATGCCAGTAAGCATCAACATGTCACTCTACCACGATCTGTGTATTAAAAGAAGTTCCACGTCAAAATATTTTTCCCGCAAAAAGCTTGTTAGTTCGTGTTGAGTATTACCTTCAACTAGTATCCGATTGAGATACACAGCGCGGATATCGGGGAGAGGATGGAACATCTATTATCTTTCCGTTTACACATTTTATACACACGCATAGCTGGTTTGGTCTTCTACGTGGCTTAATAACCAAAATTAGTAATAGTCTCCATCGCACGATTGTACTGCTCCTACTTCCAGTTTATCTTTTCATTGAATTTTACTGCAACTACCAGGTGACATTTCCACATCACAGTGCTATTCTACGAACTAGTGTTCGACGGGTGAAGATAATTGCTCCTGATATGCATATTGCACAGACTTACCGGAAGACAACGATGTGCCTTCGTTCCAGTGTAGATTTAAGTCATGATTCCATGGAAATGGAACTACTGTCAAGGTCATCCAAGACAAAAAAGAGCTGATTTTTTCCTTAGATTATTTGATCTTTCCAAGTAAATTAAGACTAGAAATCACTGTTTTTAATTAAAACATAAAGTGGACGAATATTTTGGCGAAACGGGTAGACCACTCTGCACTCGTATAAAAGAACACCTAGTCGGCAAACGTAAACCAAATACCCCACTTGGCACGCATAGGACGCGGTGAGATAACGTGGAAGATTTTGAAGTAGAGCCTATGATCGTCGCACAGGAATTTAAAATAGAAGTACGCAAAACTCTCGAAGCATTCTGGATTAATTCCAAGAATCCGGAAATAAGCCACAGGTACGAATGGCTCATAATCTCACGTGATGTCCGGCACTACATAAGCCCTTTATTCTGATGGGATGGGCATATTGCGATTCCATGTGAACTCTGTGCAGTTGGTCGCCATGTGACTTGTTAAGTGGAAGATTCATAGAAAGCGGTGACTGTGCAAAGAAGTTTTTCAGTGTTCAATGTGATTGAAATCTTGGTTAAGCACTTTCTCTGTTTGGTTATGGAGGTGTTTGGCTAGATAGATTGCGGTCAGCTTGACCTTTCCAGGGTCTGAGGAAGACGAAATCCGCCGAAACATCAGCATATGCGTAAATAAAGAAATGAAATAACACCTCATGCTCGCTAAACAAAAGTATAAAGATTTAAAACATAAATACCTAAAAGTTTGCCAAGGATAGATGCCTTTAACAGACTTTTTCAAAAAAGTACTCGTAAGTAACCAATTATCGTCTGTATAGCCATCACATGTGCTTCGTTTATAAAAGGGTGAAGGATAAAGCTCTCGGTGTTGATCAATCCGTGAGAGATACGCCGTGCATTCGACTTCATTAAGTATCGTTGGAGGTGATTGAATGCATGTCTGGCCTTTACGATGACTCGCGGTGGCCTACCGATGTATCGAGTCAGTGCTGCTATCCTCCCAGACAACTCTGGTACCAATTTGCCGATCGCGGAGGTGTGGATGGCTTGATGGGCCATAAGCGAGGGGATCGATTCTACGTGTGTGTCGCAGCGGCGCCTCCAAACACTGCGCCACGCGCTACATTTATAGGAATATATTAACGTGCAGTAGTGGTTCCCTCAATATTTCTAGTTCTAATAATCGTTCAGGTGCCTGTACCAATTACTCTCTCAACGATGGTGTTTGCAAAATGAACACCTTGGTTAAGTAGGATGTGCTTGCGAAGAGAATTTCAATGCGGAAAAGTGATTCCCGTTTGTCAGGTGCCTGTTTAGAGGATATTTCTGCTGCTGAAGATATCTACTTATCACTGCATCTTTCAGTTGTGAGGTTCGATTTCAGCCAAAGTCTCAAAAATTCACAGTTAAAACTGCTGGAATAGGAGAAGTTCATTTGTGTTCTAATTTATTCTGCTTTCTGATCCCGGTTCGTTGTTGTAAACTGGTTCAACATTGCCAGTGTATCACTTTGTTCTTCTTGTTATTCAATTACAACATGAGAAAACGGCTGTGCAAGTGGCAGAGGTCATGGTTTGTGCATCATGAAGCTTTTACAAGATTCGTTGTATAGTGTTGTTTATATGGTAATCCTATCTCTCTCTTGATGCCTATTGTGTTATTTATCTATGTGATCTTGTAGACTGATCTTCTCAAGCTGAAACGAAGTTGGTACAGGTCTTCGTTGTCGTTTTTGTTGTTTCGCTGTTGTTTCGGCTTATTGTGTTAATTTTAGGTGGTGTTAAGATAATGGTACTCATCGTCATCTTAACACTCATGCTTTCGTTCCGGTTTAAACGATTCGATGTCGATCTTGTCGATTAAGTGCAAGGCGACGAGTTCCAGCAGGTCAATTTCCACCACGGCCGTTCTGCATTGGTTGAGTTAGCGGCTTTATATTTAAAAGAAAAGGATAAAGCTCGGCGTTAATCAATCGCTGAAGGATATGTCATCCATTTCACTTCATAGAGCATCGTTAGAGGTGATTGGGTGAGCATCTATCCTATATATGCTGGCTGTCGCCTACCGATGTATTGAGTCAGTGATGCTATCATCCTAGAAAGGTCTGGCACCAAAACTTTTCGACCTCGAAGGGATAGAAAACGTGGTCGGCCTGGGCGCGTATTCGAACCCTTGTGTATTGCAAGGTACCTCTAATCACTACGCTATACTACTCCCTTTATATACACATATTTACAAGCTTCATATATATACTGACAAAAAACCTTTGGTTTTTGAGGTCTCCACATACCCCTTGATCTTGAAGTTAGTTTACCGTCTTCAAAAGTTATGAGCGCTATTTTTTGTTTATCAAAATTCAAACATATGCTGAAGAAGAACTGCATCAAAATTCCCTAGCTCTTTACAAAGCTTTGTCTGAAGAATTCAATCCCGACCACTAGTGAAAGGCCATCGTTCTGTGCATCCATCAAGCAAAACATGCATCATCAGTTGTAGGACGGTGCTATCTTTAGAAGCTCCTCGTCCAGTCGACTACCATCACAATTACGACGACGAGTACGAGGCAGAAGCCATATACGCGGCACGCGAAGACGACTCGAAAAAGATCGAGTAGCGTCGACGGATTACTCAGCAGCACATGTATCGACCATGATAAACCTATTAATAATCTGTTAGTACCATGCGTTAGCTTCTTGAATTTTTCGAAATATGTTCATGCAGGGCGCGTGTGGCCCAGTGGTTGGGTTGGAAGCGCCACTGCGACACATACGTGGAATTGATCCCCGCGGCCATGGCTCACCAAGCCTTCCATCCTTCCGGGGTCGGCAAATTGGTGCCAGACTTGTCTGGGAGGATAGCAGCACTGGTTCGATACATCGGTAGGCAACTGCGAATCATTATAAAGGCCAGATATACATTCAATCACCTCCAACGATACTTAACGAAGTCGAATGCAAGGTGCATCCCTCAAGCACTGATCAACGCCGTGAGCTTTATCCTTTTCTATGCTTTATGTCCATGCAGCGGCTCCACGTTTTTGCCAATGAGCTGAACATACTCTGTATTGAGGATGCGCAGTCCGGTGGCTACAGTTACCACATTGTTCGTAATTTTTCTTGACAGGAATTAATTTTTCTGATTTGGTCTGGGCGATCGCGTTTACTAGCCGCGTTTCATCAAAGTTCAAGTGAATGCCTCTTTCTTTCATCGTCGCGTACTGTATGATTTAAGTCATATGCCATAGAACAGGCACTAAGTTGGTGGACAAAACGAACATTCGGCGAGCCACCTTTTACTCGCAGCCTTTTTAAGCGAACGTAACGAATAGTTTTCCATAATATGGTCCTTCGCTAGCCAGGCGCCCGTATGAAAACGTTGACGCCTTTAGTTTGCTGCTAATGCTATGGATTACCCGCCGTACTTACATTCGGCCATCATCGCCTGCACCACATCTTCTTCTGCTGGGCTTCAAGTAACCTAAGGATAGGCCAGATTATGTCTCAATTTGTCACTGCCGTACTACAGAGCTGTTAAGTGGGTTTCATTCTATAGACTCCAAGTGCAAACAGTTCCTAGGAAAAACCCCGTTTCAGTGTTTTGATCTGTGAGGTGAGTACAGGCACTTCGCATGGCTCTGTCACGTCATAAGTTCTTGACCAGGTCGGAAGCGTCAACTCTTCGGCTTGGTTGAGCCTGACGAACGAAGAGCGGTTGCCATTTCGACCGTACAAAGTAGGGACTTTTTAAAGGAACAGAGTAATCCGAATTGTCCGCCTTACTATCCGTAACATCCTTGTTTCAATACTTACATCTTAACCCTTTAAGAGAATTTATATGCCACCACGGTATAAGTGAGCTACGATACAGAAGATACAGAGAAGGAATGAAGCTATAGAGTTAGGTAGAAGATAATGACGATTGACAACAAATTATTAAAGTGCATCAAGATTTATTCAGCTGGCAGCGTATACAGTGCTCAGCAATAGCGAAGTAGAAATGTGGTGATACAACACTCTCACATATACATGCATAAAGGATCAAGCAAAATGATATGTAATTCATCTATTTCTTGACAGCCACCGCTGCATCGTAATCAGGATTTTTCTTTAATATCACTAAGCCTTCCAAGTAAGGAGTCATTGCAATGTCTAAACATTATATGAACACGTATAATGATGTATGCGTATGTAAGTGTGAACTTCCTATTACAAAAAAAAGACTCTTGTACACAAATACGAGAGCATGGACTCACATTCTTCGTTAGCTAATTCAGCGCGTTCACCATAGGCTAGTAGGATAGGGGTAGTGTGCGTCTGGAATCCAGTGATCGTTTTTGGCTTACCAGCTTGTGCCACGGTGTCGACCGCTTGCCCAACTCTTACCGTGACGCCAATCTGGAATATGAGGAAATAGGCATAAATGCTTAGTAAAAGAAGAAAATCTAAACAGTGAGAACCAAAACGTTAACAATACCTGCTTAAGATGACCAGGTTTCTTCTCGTCATCACATAGCGTAACTAGCATACGAGGTTGAATAGCAAGCACTAGACTATATAGCAAATAATGCTGCCGATTACCTAGCACCTGAAATAACAAAGCTGCAATTTCCGTAACGATGTCGAAGCATCACGAATTATTTCGAAAATACCGAATTATTTGCATCCAAAAATGCGAAACAAATAGTGAGCAGTGCCGCAATAGCACTTGGACAGAGCAGTTGGCGATCAGAATGCCATGGATTCAGCGTCATTGTTCCTTTCCCAAGATGAGTAAGCCCTTGAGATAATCGCACTACCATCAAAGATGCCTTTAAAAAAGCCAACCTTTACCATAATAATTAGTTCTACTAGAAAAGTAGACACTGTTAGCTACAACACCTAATTTTACGTGACAACCATGTTCAACGAGATTTAAGCTCACGTCACGCGCTGCGTGAGTCATATAGGACATACATAAGCGAATGTGCTTCCACAAAGGAGATATTGTACAGTTTTCTCATTAACAACAACTTGTGAGCCACTATGTCTATAAAAAACGAAATTGGTAGCGGGGTTTATGAATTTCACGTGTTCCCGAACTGTCTCGTTTAACTAATCAACTGTGATACACTTTCCCTATACTTGTACATCTCTAACCAACAATGGTCCTTGTGGGAATCTCTTCACTGGACGAATAAGCTTATTTTAAAAAAGGTTTTAACAATACGTCCAGTATACAGAACGATTTTCAATGGCCAGGTACAACATCCGTGTTAGCTAAAGTGAGCTAATTAATACAAGTAAAAGAAGCAGTACAATGAAATAAGAACCGGCGAGGAATTTAAACATAAACCGCACCTTCTCATACAAATGAGTTACGAGGAACTACCTGATCCTTATGATGGTAGCCAGCCAACGATCGAAGCATGGTAACCAGACGAGAATTATTTGTTCCAGCACCAACCTTAAGTAGCAAGTCCAGTAAGATATACAGAAATTTCATTTGCACATACATATATATTATATATACATATATATATATACTATTGCTTTAAGGGCACGCAGTATGGATATGCAATTCTGGAAGCTAGCTAAGTGAAAAATCCATGGATTGTGTAAGGACTCAATAACTAAGAATATATGACCCACCAAACCCATAGCGAATATAGCACTACGTGCAGTATCTCCATCTGCATCGTGGGAGAACTTGCTCAACGTTTCTAGAATATTCAACTGTGGATTTGAGACTGAGGTCAACGCAAGAGCCAGAGGAACGGCTCGCCGAATAACTGCCTCGCCGTAGCGAATAAGGTGTCCAAACATTCTTAACGCCATCTAAAGTATGCGGTAACCAAATTTCCACATAAGAGACTCAACTAAATGTTATTAGTATGACGGCATTCGAAGAAAAAAAGCAACGCTACTGAACCAAAATCGCTTCAAATACCATGAAAAAACTTGAACTTACGAAATCAGATTACTTGCCTGGGCACCAATATCTTCACCCATTGAAATCAGAGCAATGCCAAGAACAGCGACTGCTTGTTGTGAGGACAAATCAGGCTTCGAGTCCTTGTCTTTCTCACTTTTCGTATCTCTTTTAGTTTTGTCGTCTTTCTAAAAAAAAAAGCAAAGTACGATTGAGGGTAATTTGACAACCTTCTACTTGTAGAAATACATTTTAAAGCGGTAAGAACAGAAGCAGAAAGAAAACGAGATGAAGCGATGAATTGAAGTTAAACAACTGGATAACGGGCTATAGTTGAACAGGTTCAATTAAAGCAACAGCACCTTCTTTTTCTTATCCTCCGTTTCATAATGCTTAGAGCACAGATGTAGGAACTCCTGTACCTTCAGCACATTACCCGTTCCCGCATAGGCACACACATCAACCAATGTAGACACCTTAGATGATTTAAACCGATATATTTCACCAACAGACATGGACTATAAAATCCAACAACGACATTGAACGCAGGAGTGCGAACATTCCAAAGCAGTGAAAAACAGGAACACACCATTGAACCAAAAGGTTCTGGGAGTGAACGAAGAGATTCAACGAACACTTCACTTTTTTCCTGGGTACCTAAAATAAGGCTAATGATGAATAATCACTCTTAATCAAAATAAAGCTTGTATAGGAGGAATGATGTAAACGTAAACCACTGCGAAACATGTAATGAAAACTCACTTAAGAAAATTAAACCAATGCCGAGGGCTAAAAAACGTATATTTGGGTCGCTGAGTTCAGACTCGCTCCGTTCCATCAGCGTCTGCAGCATCTCTAGTGCTACGGTATGATCAGCTGTTCCAACCATGATAAGGCCAAGGGCAAGACCAGTCAAACCCCTCACTTCATTTGTTGCGGACGGTTTCGCGTCCGTCAGCACCTTATATGACAGCAATTATCATTACTAGGTAGATATAGATCTTGAAGACACAGAAATTTGGAATAATATACCTTTTTGAGCTCAAATATTACTCCACCCTCCTCGTTTTTCACGACAGTTTCCCGTTTAGAGTTAGCATAAGCCAAACCTAATCCCAGGATCGAACCAACCCGAATAACTGCCCTAAATGTAGTTGTTAGAGGATGAAGAAATCCATGCTCGAATCTCACTGAACTAGGCACTGTAATAAATATATATTTAATCAAAGAATTTATGAGGTTAGTAAAAGGCTGTGCAATTTTGCCAAATCCTTGGAAAATTTCTTTAAAAGCATGGCCGTATCAGTCGATTTGGTAAGGAATGTCTACCCTTTTGACGCTTGACCTCAACTGTACCATTACCTTTCTGAATGTACATGGTCAAGAAGAAGTGCGGAGGCTGGATCACATGCATCTTGTATCCCAGATGAAATAATACCGATAGCCAATAACGTCCCAGCCTGAAGTTGCCAGATGAGTGGTTTCATGAATTTTAAACTAATCACTTTTCTTACCTTGATGAAATCATCGTTTACATACAAAAACTTGTCGCACTGTCCAAGACCAGAGTCAATATCCCAACGCCAAACGAGACCTTGAGATGCTGCTGCCGACAACATGCCTTAGTTCAAATTGATGAAATTTTTACAGAAAATTTTCATACTTAAAATAACGCACCGTACTCCTTATTCTTGTAGAACCACTTGCTAGCATCTTCACTCTCTGCCATCATTTTATCTACACCAAAACCACAATTGACGAACCCATTAACAAAAGCAGCTGCTAGGTTCATTCTAGCAGAATCGGTAGCCGCGAGGTGTCCGAAAGGGCCTGGAATACCATATGTTTACTTCACTACCTCACGAACACATTGATAAAGCAAAACGGACAGAAGAAAATAAGTTGCACATTGACACACATATTCTAAAGATAACACAGAACTCCCTAAAGAACTCAAAGTCAGAGATATTTCTAACTAACGACTGTGCTCCAGATGACTTTTGTAGATCCCTTCAGGCGTTTTTGGTTCCATGATGTCAAGCTCTCGAGCGAGGGAATGGAAATATTCGTAAAGATGAGCATTTGAGTTGAACTCTCCAAGTTGTTCACCATTAGGAATGTTCTCGAAGTCGAGGAATATCTGATGACGACCAAGCAGGATTGCCATTTGCTTTTGTAGCAGTCTGAAACGGTGTTAATATGTTTCGGCACAATCTAGTTTCATTGCCAAAACGAGAAATAGATAACATTCTAGACTACCGAAACTTTAAGAAGCAAAGCCTGACCCTTTTTTCAACACAGGCACTGTGAAATGAAAACAACCCATTAAGATTCATATGCCACCTCCTCGCACTATGAGCATGAGTCAAATATACTTCTAGCCACTGTTTTTGCTACTCCGTCGCTACGAAATTAATCGCTGGCCTCTACAGACCTTCGAACAAAGAGGTCGAGAAGGTAGTTCTTTCTTTGCAAAATACTACGCGTAAAGAATAGAACACCTGGTCCGATGTTTAGCAAACTTTCAGCATTAAGCTATGAGTTCGAAAGTCGTGCGAAAAATTTAGCGAAAAATGAATGAAAGTAAAATGTGTTGAGATCAGTTCAGGTATACCGGCCTCTTCTTCACCTTAGTGCTGAGAGAAAATCACGTCAGGCTCAAAGTATTAAAATAGCCGGATAGAGAACTGCAGGTCTGGGGAAAGATCGCAAGAACGAAATAGGACATATATGCCCTCCCAACAATATATAACCGACGGATGGAACGTTTTAAAGGACATCATACATGGAATTGAAGCAAATGACAAGCGAGAACTTCCCGATATATATATACACATATTTATACATATGTATACATATGCATATATATACATATCCATATATAAGTACATGCATACATATTGTATACATACGTCTATATATGTACAGATATGTAGAGAATGGACCTGATTTTCAACCATTCTCAAAATGTCCTTTTGTTTAAAAAGTTGTGGGCATCACAGTGGAAACGCCATTATTCGTCCACAATGAAATCCTTTACGATATTCTCAAAGATTATTTTGTAAAAACTTCAGCAACGACATTGCTACCATTATTCTTTTTCATGGTAACTAAATATTCATAAAGGATATTCACGTGCTAAACTCGAAAATCTAACATGTTTGCTGCTTTGAATTTTCATCACTGAGATGACAAGCGAATTCGTAAACGTACAAAACGTCTGTCAACACAAATCGATGAAAACAAACAAGTAAGCGGTTGAATCTTTTGCGGATGGCCGTTGGCGTCTGCTTACCAAAAGAAAGAGACAAAAAAGGCCCGATTGTAATAGTCTATCATGTTTTAGAACATGTTTCACCTGTTAGTATCGGTAATGTTAACGATGACCTGAACTGTTACCCATTACTTGGACTTCGTCTCAACGAGGAAGAAAATAGTGCTGCAAACAGCTAGCTTAAAAAGAAATGTTCTACTCACGAATCTTTAGTTATGGCGAAAATCTTCTTGATCTCGCTTGGCTCATTCAACATAATGGTACAGCGTACAGCTTCCAAATAACGTTGGTATTTCAAGTAAATATCCTTCGCAGTGCGAATGAGGATGATATTGTCTGGATCAGGAGTCAGTGGTGCACAACTGAATAATGGTGACCGTTGATTCAGATCTTTTCCACCGAATAACAAAAAAGGCTATTAGTGCGTGACTATCTATGAAAAAGACTATATTGGTAGCGTAGAAGAAGGAAATTTTCAAGGGTTCTACCTGAGCAAGTAGGGGCAAACCCTTTGATGATCCACATCTACCATATACTCCTTGAGAAGATCAAGTCGCTCAATCTCGATGAGCAGATCACATGCATCGACCTAGACCTTTCAGAATTTCCATGCTGTCAAAGAACTCGATTAACTGAACAGAAAACCAAACGCACTTCTGCGTTGTGCTTCATATTGTGCGTAACGATATCCTTTGCAAGCATAAGAAGTTCATTCCGCCTAGAAAAAGGACACTTAGGAAAAACACACAGTTTTGATTTGCGAACACTTCCTGAAACTTCTGGATTTCAAAACCTAACGTAAGAATTACTAAATATTAATCTCGTTTCTCTGATATGTTTGCTGAAAAACCATTGCTCAGCTGAAATTAGGGAAACTGTTCGCAACTATACACTGTAGAAACTGTGGTGACGACCACGTTAGCTCCCAGAAATGGCAATAGCCCGTTCGTTCCCCACCGCCGACACCTGCTGTCCGGAGTTTCGCAAATATCCAAGCGTCACCGTGGT